ATGAAGAGCTTACTCATATAACCGAGGAAATATTCAAATACCGCTACTTCATCATCTTAAACGGAATACAGTGAATACTTATGATATATATGAAAAGAGGAAAAATAACTTCGCACAAGAAACTAGATGGTTGATTGACCTCAAGCAAAAGGGTAGTTTATAAGAAGAAGATGAATAAATATATGCCAGATAATAAGCTTGTGAGTTTTCCTAAAGATTTTGTCGCAATCTAGTAGTTCAACTACCTAGGATTAGGTGACACGATGGTCTGAACTTCTATTCAACCTCACATTTTCTTGCTTTCTTACAATGTTTTCTCACTCAAAATGGACCTAATGTAGACTTTGCCTGGACCTCATCAATACCATCAGTTATGCATGTCTAATTGCACTTATGCAAGTGATAAAAATATAACCATTATACCTCGTTTTACATTCGCCCTGAATTTAACTTGCCTATAGCGTAATATAGGGTCCAGACTAGAAGACATTTACCCTTGTTATTGGACCATAACCCAACTTTTTGGAAATAATTAGAAATAAATGGAAAAACAATTTTTTTTCCTTTATGAGCACTTTAGCTTTCCGCGCACTGTCATATGAATAAAATACGGAGAAGCTTTTTAACCAACTGACCTATGAACATTCTATACTTTAGCACTAGAATGCTAATAAATTATTTCCATTCACTTAGGCAATATGTCATTCCAAGCACTATATCCGTAAATAGCACCAAAACAGCAAGTGTAAGCTTTGGTTTGGAGTTGGCTTGATCTATTGAATGATGCCATATTTAAACCAAGTTGCTTATATGATTGAGATTCATATTTCATCAAAACAAAAGGGCTGAACATGACAATATTTAGTCGAATATCTCTCGAATTGATACACAAAATTGGAGATATATTCGTAAGAAAAACTATGTAAATCAGTCATGTCGCATCCTCTTAAATAGAGTCTTTATTTCCAAACTATACCTTTTCAAAAAAGTATAATTTACCATTTACTTAGGAAGTTTGTCTTAGTTATTTTGCATTTTATTTGAGAACCATACAAATATCTGACTCTGCTCCTTTTACCAGCTTCTTGCGTAGGGCATTTTACCTATGCATCGATAAAATTGGTGTTACTTATGGTATTATCGTCAAACCAAACATTCTGAAATATGATGGATGAAACTCAAGTCGGTTTCAAACTAATGGTATCCTATGATACCTAATTTTAAAGCTTTACAATTTCAATATTATCCAATCAATTAGTTTAATTAATTTTGGTCCAAGAATCGAAAATTTATCGAGATATCTGGCTAATGCTATGAATCAAAGATTATTAAGCAAACTTAGTATATTTTCTACATCGAAGTCGAGTTTCGAAACATATATATATTAGACATGCTTCTTCCCATTGTCCAAAATAGTATATACACAAAAACAAGAGTAGGTAAGGCTGGCAAATATATTAGTACTGGAGTTTTACTGAAAAGTCCAAGAAGTCCAGCTCTGAAAAATCCCTTAAAAGTTAGCAAAAATATCATAACGACCTAATAGAACGTCCTGCTTTTCCACCTGTTCCCAATCCTAATTCTTTGATATTCAAAGCAGAATATAGCATCATCATCGTATTAGACTATGCTAAATTGGAAAATCACAGTGCCTCGAGTACTAATGAGAAGGAAAAGCTTGGAGGAATGGATACATTGAAACTTTACTGTGTATTGTCCGGGTCCAAGTTGAATGTCCTCAGATGCGTTGGCAAATCTTTCTGTATGAGAGACCAAGCGGCCCTTTTTGGAAGTGGTGAGATCCGGCAGATTGTATTCAGCAGGGCCTGCAATAGAAGACATCATGTATGGTAAACATATGAAAATTGATTCTAGTTTTGATAACAATTCCCTTTACACAAACTAGTCATGTTACTACTTGGTCACGTCATAGTGTGTCCATCATTTCCCAAAATTTCAGGCGAATTCTATTATAAACTGAATTTTGTCTTGTAAATCAAATATAGCTAGTCGATTTGGGTCTAATTAAGAATATTGATAGTCTTTTGGGACGAGATGAAGTCTGAAAAGTCATTAGTTAAATGCAGGAATATATAAACAGATTCGCTGGCCTAATTTATCGCTAACAACAACAAAAATTCAATAGCCAGACTCTGGTTAAATATAGAGTAAAAGACAACTTAATAGAAGTAACTTGTATTAATTATGAGACAATACTTAAATTGTATTAATTAATCGGATAGGAAATGAGACAATTTTTATATTTACATTAAACGTATTATCGCCTAAAAACAAAGGATTGATGAGTACTACAGTTCCATGGCTGTACTTGGTAGTTAAGTGACCGAGAATAAAAAGTGATCCAAATCGGATAAGAAGTGTATTTTGGATATATTATCTAGGGCTTAGCATTATAATATCAAACCTTCACTTCCAATCATATGAGTTGCCTCAATAAGCAGCAAACGTCATGGTTTCGGACAACTCATTAAGAATGTCAACCAAATTATACTTTACCTCTACTCGTTTATACTTAAATTGCTAATCAATAATTGCGCCCTATTAATGGTTTAATAAATAAATTTACCACCAACAGGAAAATGTGTGGCTTCTTGCACTATCAAGGTTTGCATACACAATAGTTAATTTCCTAAATTGAGTGGTATAAAGAGACTTATTTTGTTCATTTTCATCTTTAATATTTATGATGATAAATTTAAGATAAGGTAACTTTTATCTATTTCGAAAGTAATTGCCCTTATTAGGATTAATAAAATTGCTTGATCAAATACATTTTCTGTTGTTTCAACCCGGTCTAAGACACTTATGATGCCTGAATAGAAGCATTTATAACGGTTCAACACATATGCTATTCGATAAAACACCAACTTCATGAGCGTCCACACTGAATCGGTTACAAGTAAGATTGAATTAAATTGTACTGGCTATAACCTACGTGTACAAGCAGTCACATTATATTCTCAAACTCGGATTAAGGTAAACATATTTAGGGAAGTAATAGACTTGTGGCCAGTAATAAAGTTCTAATTATGACCATCTGTATCGTATTATTATTATTCATTATTTATGGAGTACACTAAAATTTGCTGCATTCGCATTACTTCATATAATTGTCCGTCTTCTATATTCGGATTAAGAATTTCTAATATTATAAATTTGATAGCTAGATCTATCTCTGATTATTTTTAGAAACTAAATTCCTCCAAGAATTAAACATTTTGAGGTAGTATGAATATTAGCTCTACATTATTTAATTGTAAATTGAGCTAGAAGGCACAAGTTAAGGCTGAATGCTGTTCTTCTACACCGCGGTAGCAACTAAGCAGTCACTGATAGTGGAGAAATGACAAGAGCAATCCCACCTCTGAAGAAATTACAAAATTATTGCGACCGTCCGGTATGAGGAAATTTCCAGCCTACTAGTTCCGGCTGAAGAGCGGCATAATAAAATTAAAGATGTACTCCTCCACTGTTTTAATTGACTAAGAACTATTGGTTGGAGTGAAACCTCTTCATGAACAGTCTTGTTACTTCACTGATTACAACGCTTTTGACTTAGATATAACTCTAACATTGTACTTAAGGCTAAACACATTGATAATAAAGCCAATCATGTGCACTGATAGGTCTTCATCCAGAGCTATTTTTTGTGCATTGCAGCTTACTATCCTCACATAATTTCATACAGCTGATAAAAAAGTCCACCCAAAATTACAAAATTTTCCGGGAGAATTTTGTTAAAAGTAGTTACAGAATCTCATATTCTCCGCATAATGATTATGCGGTACTTCTCTCTCACTCCTACCTAAACTCCTCGCTATTCCCACTTTTAATTTATTTATGCTATTTTTTGCATTCAAGTATTGTTTCGAGACTACCAGTTAATCAGTAATATGAGATGTATTCACCCTGTGACACAAGGGCACTCATAGCAATGTGTCCGAGTGGTTAACATGTTAGGTTCCCATTCTGCACTGTCAAGGTTCGACTCCCGCTGGGGGTGCTGATAAGGCCGATGCGAGGTCGAGACTGCAGTTCGCCCTGGATGAGAACAACTTTTGTGAAAGCAAGGCTATGTGAAATTCAATGGAAATGACAGCTCTACTCATAGCATTGTGGAAAAATTGTTCTACCAGTCCTTCATCACCTTAAACGAAATAGGGTGAAAACATCTCATATAGTTTATTCTTGACGAATCTAGGTGTCAATTGAGAGGGTTTAATGTAGAGTTTATCATCCTACTCTGGTTATCCCTCCAGCGGTGTGCCAGAACTGTAAATCTGATCTGAATCTTGTCAATAAAATGATACCATATTCTTTATCGTGCTCTCGATAATCCGTTTCTTTTCTTCCTGGTTGACTGATTTTGCTCGGCTCTAACTATTATATCTCCTTTACTCAAGGCGCTATCGCCTATAGACTATTCCATAGATTTTATGAAATTGCTACTGTGGCCTCAATTAGCAGGTCTTCGAGGCCCTGATTTCCAAGCTCGCCGAATTCACACTTGCGGTATAGAACAAACTAACATTGTGGTACTTATCATAGTTCGGCATTTGTTATGGTCAGACATTGTTCATTGTATTGTGGTTGCCTCAGGAAATGAGGCTCACCTCCTAAAAACTGATTCCGAACGCTGATATTCAGGACATTTGGTACATGCTCCAAAGATCCGGAAACGTGTAGCCATCAATCGATTCCTATTCTAAATTCTACCACTCAGAGTTGATTAGATTAAGTAGCCAATAATACACAGGGGATAACATACTGGTTAAGGATAAGTCAAAACTCATCAAATGGCCTTGGCTATCTAAGCGGACCCGTATAAACTGTTTTGCATTGGATTTGGCCTGAATATACTAATTGAGCATGACTAAAGCCATCCGTAGTCATTGAACAAAAAGGAAGATAATCAGAAATCCAAAATGAAAAGATGAATATTATTGATGTACTCGAATAACTTGGGAAAGAAGTAGTGCTACATTTATTGGTCAATTGAATCAGCGAGAAATAAGCCCCATGTTACTAATTAAATGGATGCAAAAATTTGTCATGATAGGAAACTCTATTTACATACGGAAAATAGGAATAT